GGGGGAAGAGAGACAGACACAGAGACAGACAGATAGATAGATATAAACAGACAGACAGATATAGATAGACAGATCCCCTCTGGTACATCCCCACTGCATGTCTTGTGTTGGGCACCATGTCCGTCAAGCTCTAGATGACTTGGGTCGCGAACCAGAGGTGGACCGACATCCTCTTGGCAAACTACACAGGTGTCATCTAGCCCATTCCTCCGCCATCCAGCGTATGCCCGACTCCAGTCAGCTCTGCATCCTGAGCTCACTCCTCTCATGGCCAGCACAAACTGCGCTCAACGAGGAACCTGTTCCGGAGTAGCAGCTCCCTAACAGCCACCACTCCCATAGAGAGAGCGCTCTGGCGCGAGCCAACCATGTCCCAGACTATGATCAGGTCCAAATAGAAGACAGGCAATTCCTGGAAGTAGACATGAGGCTCGGACCACTCCACAAACTGGAATTGCATGTCATAATGGAGGCCATGCACCTGACGGAAGAAATAAGTCATCAGGGCGTACCACCTTGGAAGGTATCGCTGCAGGGTCTGAAGGCAGAAAATCGCTATCTGGGTGTGAAAGCACAGGTGTGCCTGACCGCCCTCCTCAAGCGGGAGAGCCAGAACCGCAGCTTGACCCAATGTTGTCTTTTGTACCAGAAAACCATGAAGAGCCTTTTCATATGGTTGTGACAAAGGGGAGGGACCAAAGTGACCAGCTGGTACCTCAACATGCGCCACCAGCTGGTTTATGACCAGCACTCATGCCCTGCAAGACGACACTCTGTGCAGTCCTGTCCAGTGTGCTAAGCAAACGGTCACTTTGGTTTCCAACTTGTGCCAATTCGTTGGCCAGGATTCCTCAGCAGGATAAAGATCGACTCCCAGGTAGAGGAGGAGAGTGGTACTCCATGTGAAGCAGCGGAGCTCCTCTGGCAGGGTGTCCATCTGCCATGGCCCGACCAGAAGTCCCGAACACTTGCTCCAATTGATCCTCATGGAGGATACCACAGAGTAGACCACGCATACTCCATAAGTCAGCTAGATCTGTGAACATGAGGCGTATGCCAAAAGGACCACCTCCAGCCCAAGCCTGCGCACAGCCAAACACGACAGCCGCTTATGCAAGAATGGCTCCATGTAAAGCGAACATAACTGGCCGGACAGGGGGCAGTCCTGACGCACTCCTCTCCCAAAGTGTAGGGGCACCATCAGGGACCCGTTAACCTTCACTAGGCAGTCCATGGCGGCATAACGAAGTCGGATCCAGGTGACAAAGTGTGTCCCGAACCCAAAAGCTCACAGAGTCTCAAGCAGATACTCGTGATCTGTTCTGTCGAACACCTTTTCCTGATTAAGGGAGAGAAACGCGTTTGACAGGGCAGCCCTCTGAGAATCAGGGATCACGTCCCACACCAGGTGGATGTTGTTGTGGATGCTCTGGCCCGGGACGGTGTAGGACTGGTCAAGGTAGATCATGCGGTCCAGCACTGTGCCAAGGTGAGTTGAAAGTGCCCTGGCGAAGATTTGAGTAATCAGTGCTAAGGAGGGTCAATTCTTTAACAAATGGAGATATCCCTCCGTCGGCAACAGAGTGATGACTGTCCTGCACCAAGAAAGGGGCGTCTGTTCAATCGCAATACATTCTCCTTGGACCTGCACATTGTCGCCCCTCAGGACATGCCAGAACGCCCTGAAGAACTCCACTGTCCAGCCCCAGGGACGTGCCCATGGAGAGACGGTCAAGGGTGCTGATATGCTCCTCCAAACTCAAAGGAGCACCGAGCCTCTCGGCATCCTTGGGACTGAGCCGTAGCAGATGCTCCCACAGAACTTTGCGAGCTTCCTCGGTGGACAGATCTAGAGAGAAGAGAGCCATATAATAGTCCCTCACTTGGGCCCTGATGTCCTCTGGATCCGAGATGAGGGATCTGTCATCAGCTAGCAGAACAAGGAGCTGCTTGTGGACCCCGTGCCTTTTTTCCAGCAAGTAGAAGAAGGGAGAGCTACGGTTCAGATCACAAAAGAACAGGACCCACAACCTCAAATACTCAATCCCGGACCTGACAAGATGCCGATCCTGGAGCGTGGCCTTCTTAAATTTTTATGCCTCCACAGGGACGGGTCTATGTCGGGCTGACTGAGACTTTACTCCAGGTTGCGCACCTCCTTCGCCAACTCCTCAATCCTGGATTTCCGCTTCTTCATTGACACCCATGCATATTGCTGACAGAAAAACACAGACATGAGTCTTGCCCACATCCCGCTAGAGCATAAAGAAGGGGAAGCCCCCCTGCTTCCTCCTCCAGCCGGTCCAGAAGTCACGAAACAAGTCCTGGAACCGCTCGTCCTCCAGCAGCTGGTTGTTAAAGTGCCAGTATGCCGACCTCATTCTGGCACTGAACGGAACGAGCTCCATCCATAAAAGGTTGTGATCAGAAAATGGCACCTGCCGCATGGAGGCCTTTGGAGCACAGGAGGTGTATGCCCTGGAAATGTAGAGGTGGTCAATTCTAAACATTCCGACCCCAGACCTCACAAAGGTGAGGGCAGTGCAATCAGGATGGAGATTTCACCAGACGTCTACCAAGCAAAAGGTCTTAATGAAGTCGCTCAACGTCCCCACCCACTGATGCTGAGCTCTTCTGGGTACTGCTATGGTCCTGCCTCTTGAGGGTGCCATTGAAATCTTCCCCAAGAAGGATGAGTTCTCCCCCACCGAAGAAGGCAAGAAGAGTAGACACTTCGAAGCCCGTCTGCTCAGACTCAATTCAAGATGCATATATGCTCACAAAGTGAAGTACCATGCCTCCGATATGAACTGTGAATTGGAGCAGATGGCCTGGCACCTACTCCTTGACCCACAGAGTTTCCTGCCACTCCAGGTGCCACATGGCTTTGTCTCCTGAAACTGTATAAGTTTCTTGCAGAAGGCTCATCACATACGTTCCTTTCCTGAGAGTAAGAGGATATGAAATCTGCTCTGGGTCTTCCTGCTGCCTTTGATGTTGAGGCTACCTTTCATGTCTTCATGGCTGCAGTACAGGTCACACCACCAGTTATAACAATGAAAACCAACTTACTGAACATGGGTGAGAGGAGAGGACATTCCACCCCCCCACCCTCCCCCGCCCCCACTCCCCCAGGACCCTGCAGAAGAAACCCTAGCACCACTGCCTCATGATCTTGTCCACTCTCAGGGCTACCAATAACTGCTGAGCCGACAAGACCAGAAGGTAAACAGAATTCCACCTGTCCATAGCCATAAGAAATAATTGATAGAACATAGAATATAGATCTGTTTAGCACAGGAGCAGGCCCTTCGGTGCACAATGTCGTGCCGAATATGACAAAATTAAATTAATTCCTTCTGCCCTGCCCTTGATCCATATCCTTCCATTCCTTTAGGGTGGCATGGTGGCTCAGTGGTTAGCACTGCTGCCTCACAGCACCAGGGACCCGGGTTTGTTTCCACCACCGGGCAACTGTGTGTGTGGAGTTTGCATATTCTCCCTGTGTCTGCGTGGGTTTCCTCCAGGTGCTCCGGTTTCCTCCCACAGTTCAAAGATGTGCAGGCTCGGTGGATTGGCCATGCTAAATTGCACATAGTGTTCAGGGATGTGAAGATTAAGTGGGTTATAGGGGGATGGGTTGGTGTGGACTTGTTGGATTGAATGGCCTATTTCCACACTGTAGGGATTCTATGATCTATGATATTCATGTGCTTATCTAAAAATCCCTTAAATGCCTCTATCGTACCTGCCTTCACCACCACCCCTGATAGCACGTTCTAGACTCCTACCACTCTCTGCATAAAAAACTTACCCCTCACATCTCCTTTGAACTTCATTCCTCTCACCTGAAATGCATGCCCCCTGGTTTTAGACATTTCAACTCTGGGAAAAAGATTCTGACCATCAACCCTATCTATGCATCTCCTAATTTTACAGATGTCTATCATGGGTCCCCACAGCCTCCACTGTTCCAGAGAAAACAACCTGAGTTTTTCTAGCCTTTCCTTATAGCTCATACCCTCTAATCCAGCAGCATCCTGGAAAATCTCTTCTGCACCCTCTCCAAAGCCTCTATATAATATAGTGACCTGAACTGAATGCAATACTCTAACTGTGGCCAAACTAAAGTCCTGTAAAGCTGCTACACAACATCCTGACACTTGTACTCAATTCCCTGACCAATAAAGGCCTTCATTACCACCCTATCTATTTGCATGGCCACTTTCAGGGAGCTATGGACTTGAACCCCAAAATCCCTCTATACATCAATACTGTTCAGGTTGCTGCCATTAACTGTATACTTTTCCTTAACATTTGATTTCCCAAAGTGCAACACCTCAAATTTACACAAATTAAACTCCATCTGCCATTTCTCTGCCTATACTTGCAACTATGTCTGTTGACAACATTCTATACAACTCCACCGATCTTTATAACATCTGTAAACTTACTAACACCCATGTACATTTTCATCCAAATCATTTATATATATCCTAACCAGCAGATGTCCAAGTATGGATCCTGGCAAACACCACGAGTCACTGACCTCCGGCCTGAGAAAACACCCTTCCACTGCTACCCTCTGCCTTCTATGGGCGAGCCAATTTTGAATCCACACCGCCAAGTCATCATGGATTCCATGCATCTTAGCGGAAGGCGAATGGGGAGGGAAGGGGCTCGTAGAGAGTGGGGACAGGCAGAGCTGGGGGGAAGGGGGGAGAAATGGGGAGAGAACAGATTTGCTGGAGAGAAAGAGGGGCAGAATGTTGTGGGGGAGAACAAAGGGGACTCAGTGTTGAATGGGTGGTGGGAGTTGAATAGTTAAAGGAGGGATGTGGTGTCGAAGTTGAGTGGAAACCTTGAGAAAAGGTACGCTAAATTGGAGGAGGGGAATCCGAGTGGAGGAGGGTTAATTTAGTTGGGTGAGGGAGTGATTGGGTTAGGACATTTGGGTGCAAAGACGTAGGGATTTGGGGGAGGGTTGGGAGCGAGGATATCGCAGTGAGGAAGGGAAGTGAAGTGAAGGGGATGGGCGGAGCCTCGTTGGCTTTACTGGTTGCGGAGTAGACGAAGAGTGAAGCGGCAGTGTGTGTCGTTTGGAACGGAGCAAACAGGAGCTGACTGGAGTGGTGGAGTTTAGGGTCTACGGTTATGGCCAAGTGGCTTCGGGAGTACCTGAACTGGGGTAGGCACAAGGGGCGCAGCTCTCCGCGGGCAGCGAAGTCGGAGCTTGGGGGGTGGGAAGGGGCCAGCGGGACTCCGGCTCGGACTGACACCGAGTTCATGCTCAGAGCCTACCGACTGCAGAAAGAGCGAGATTTTGAGGATCCTTACAGCGGGTGGCAGGCGTTCAGCCTGCGGAGAGTAAGGACTGCTCGGCAGAGCCAACTGCCTGAAGAGCGGCCCTTTTACCGTAGCAACAGTGAGAGAGCCGAAACTAGCAACTGCAACTCCACAAAACATCGGCTCATTAAAGTCGACAGTCCCTCCCCGGCACGCAGCGCAACCATCAGCTGGAACCACAGCAGCAACTGCAAGAAAGTGCAAAAACCCCAGCACAACGACCTCACGAAGGACCGGGTGAGTCACACTTTACAGATTGTCAGCTGCTCTCCTGTGAACTGGTTTGTTACACACTCTTACGCTACTTTTCTCCTCTTAATTTCAGCACATTCTTAAATACGTCAATCACGTATTCTCCACCGCCGGAATACTTTTCATAATATATGTAAACAAAAAAAATTAACTTGAATGTTACACCACTTGTAGGAATTGTTTCCCAGGACAACATTCGATTGTAATATTTACAAAATACTTTCTGAACATCGAGGTCTGACTTCGTTTGCCATCAATGATTCCGGACAAAACCGGGCCGTTGTCTTCCTACAAATCCTCGATGATACAGTGAATCATTTTTGGAGTGATATTTCACTTTAGCAGGGTGTGAACGACTTTTCTGCCGATTGTTCCCGTCGCCTTCATTTTTTCCATGTGTTATTGAGCAAGTACTTTCAAACATAGAATGATTTCCGTTAAGGATTGGTCTCGCAGAAATATCAGGGGTTCCTATGATTTCTGTGATTTGCCAAGGTCTGGGATTGCCACTATCCAGGGGGACAGTGATGTAGTCGGAATGTCGCTGGACCCGCCCTCCAGGGACCCTCGGTAAGTGTGGGGACAACAGTCCAAATCTTAAGAGGCGACTTGACAGAATTTGAATTCCACCCTCGGGCGACTGTCTGGAGTTTGCACGTTCTCCCTGTGTCTTCGTGGGTTTCCTCCCACAGTCCAAAGATAACAAATCTGCACTATAAAATGAGACGCTGGTTGTAGCTGTTCATGAAGTTTTGAACATTTGGTTGCAGAGGTGTGTAGGGCTTTCATTAGAGCAAAGGATGAGCTGGTTTTTACTGGTACTGTGGAAGGTTGTGTGAATTTGGAATTGTGAACAATATCTTCATTTGGCAGAAGATAGTCAATGCAGGGATGTTGGGCCAAATGGCCCACTCTCTGCACCATAACAATTCTGCGGTTTTTTTTTCTTTGGGATTTGAACCCTGGTCCCTAGAACATTACTTAGGTTTCTGAATTACTCTTCAAGTGACAATATTAGGAGGCCATACTTTTCTTGTGATGTCTTTGAGAGGCAAGATCCCAAAAGAATTTAATTTTAGCACTAAACAGGACTTTAATCCTGCTAATGCTTACAAGTGGAGAGAGAGGCAAGTTTGGGGAGATTGGAGGACTCCGTGCATTGTCTGGAACATTTTGTCTCCTAGCTCACAACGAGTTCTCTCAAGTTTGCATGTGTGTCCTTATGGTCCAACTAGTGCATTCCAGACAATACAGGCATTACCAACCTGGTGTTCAGTAGCAGTAATGTATACCATCTACGAGGTGAGTTGCAGAAATTCATCAAGGCTCTGCAGACGGCACCATCCAAACCCACAAACACTTCCATCTAGAAAGATAAGGACAGCAGATACATGGGAATTCCTTCACTTTGCAAGTTCCTTTCCAAGCAACACTCTGTTCCTCACTTGGAGACATAGAACCATAGAATCCATACATTGTGGAAGCAGGCCCTTCGGCTCGACAAGTCCACACCGACCCTCAGACCATCCCACCCAGACCCATCTCCCTATAACCCACCTAATGTACACATCCTGAACACTACAAGCAATTTAGCATGGCCAGTCCACCTAGCCTCCACATCTGTGGACTGTGGGAGGAAACCCACGCAGATGCAGGGAGAATGTGCATACTCCACACAGACAGTCGCCTGAGGGTGGCATTGAACCTGGCTCCCTGGCGCTGTGAGGCAGTTATGCTAACCACTGAGCCACCGTGTTGTCGTTCCTTCAGTATCCTTGAGTCAAAACCCTGGAATTCCCTTCCCAATGGCATTGTAAGTCTACCTACAGCACATGGACTGCAGTGGTTCAAGAAGACAGCTCACTACCGCCTTCTCGGGGGAAACGAGAGATGGGCAATAAATGCTGGAGCAGCTAGTGATGCTCACATCCCACAAGTGAATTTAAAAAAAAATGCTGTAATATCATTAAAGTGCTGATTAAGTAGCAGCCTAGTAGTTGTTCCCTTCGTTTATGCCAACATCTGGTTTCCCTTGCATTGGCATTATTAAGTGTTGGTTCTTTTGCAATCAGAGGGTTCCTGATTATTTTTTAAAATGTAAGCCAAGAACTTCTCAAATGTCAGGTTGAATATCAAGCCTGTAAATCAAGTTTGTACTGTCCACTGTTGGCATGGAAGGTAATTTAGCACTGTAGAGGAGTTGTAGTGAAATTTCTTGAACTTAAGCCCTGGAAATCTAGTTGAGCAATATTATTACTGTACTGTCAAACTGAGAACTGTGTGCCATATGTGATTTAAATATAGGTTTAATGACAAATGAATTAGTTAATAGGGGCAGGGTGAAATACATCCTTGACTTTCACATTGGCCATCGTTTTTGAACTCATTAAAGTTACCATTAAATAAGCAAGCATAGTAATGCTCAATGATTTTCATTATGTCAGTAAATTAAAATTTATATCTTTTTAGATAAAAGTTAAGTAAAATGTTATAAGTAACCTCCTTTATAAAAATAAATGCATGTTGGTAGAAAGGATCAGTTAATTGCTGAGTCTTCATGTATTTAAATAGGGTTTTACAGGCCAACAAACTGACCCTATAGCAGGATAACCTGAACTTGTGGCACACATTCTATTTTATGTGGGAAGTTTTAGAATGGTTCTCGTGTCTTGGATAACTGTGTATTCAGGAATTGTCTGTTGCAGGAACTCAAATTCTGGATTTTGGGGTTTGAGCAGCATGTGACACCCCTGCGCCGTATTTACAATCTGTACACGTGGCTGCTTTGCAACTTGAGGGTTGTAGGAACAGGGCAAATATGTGACGGCCAGGCAGTTAAGGAGGACTATGTGGGATCATTGTGCTTTCCAACTGGTACTCTATTCTGAATGCTGTAGGGATTGTCATTTGTGATCAGTAATCTGCTGATTTTTTTTGGTGGTTCGAATCACTCCCAGATCCCTGGTTCTGACACTGGACTTAAATTAGGAATGTGAAATGAAGAAGGCAGTAGACAGGTGTTTCAGGGCAAAGAATCTCTGCGTTTATTAAATGCAAAGACTAGTATATTACAAGAAATAAAAAGGCAAAAGTAATAAATAGGGAAATAAAACAAAGGTGAATACAAGAGTTAAAAAGGCAAATTTAAAACAGTGAAACTGACACTATCAATTATTAACTTAACACAGGCTAATTATTATTAGAAACTAAACAGTAGTCTCAAACACAGACATTTTAATCAGACTTTCTGACCTAGGGCTTCCCTGCACTGTCACCAACCCACCTTCCCCTCCCTGCTAGCTAGGTTAGATACTTTGGGTCTCGAGGAAATAGGCTCCCCACTGGGGATAAACAAAATTTTGAAATACAGCTGGCTGTTCCCACTTGCTGTAGCCAGTGCTTCACTGAAGACTTCGGATGGCGTTCGGTCTGATTGAAAACTTGGCTTTTCTTACTTTGTGGTGGTTTCATGAGCCGTTTTTCACCTCAGGATGTGTCTGAGGCCTTGTCAGTCATGTCAGTGGTTTTCGGAGGTCATGGTCGGTTGCCATTGATTCCCCTGGTACAGACCAGCCCTGTGACAGTAGGCTTCAGTAAGATAGCTGTGCAGAGAGTACTCGGGGAGAGTAGCTATTTGGGATCCTTCTTCTGTTGGTAGCTGGTGGGGATGGCTCTCTCACTCCTAGATCAGGGCCAGCAGTTATACTGTGTCCTTCATTGTGTTTCTGTTGTCCCCTTTGTGGTGAATTGGCTTCCTAATAGTTTAGATTAGGTGTAAACGTGTTTTGATTGAGTGGAATGTCTAGTATTTCTGCAAATGAATATTAATTCAGGTTGAATGCCTTGGTACCTCTGATTCCAAGATGTCTGAAGTTGTTGTCTTAGGTCTAGTTCATTGTTCCCATAGGGCTAAGACGTGAATAGGATTTCTAACTGAACCATGGTTCCAGGCAGCTGTCCCTGTGATATTGTATTCCAAAGCACAGCCTAGCTGCTTTTCTTTTTGTTTTAAAAGTTCTGTTAAGAATCCAGGGATTTTGGTCCAGTATTCTAAACGACAGGGATATTTGCTCCCTCCTACGATGCTGAAAAGAGTGACAGTCCTCTGTGCAGCCAGAGCCAAGTCCATGGTACAATGGCTGGCTAAGCTGTAGATTGGGCAATTAAAAAGACTGGGAAAGCAATAACAATGTTCAAGTAACCTATACATGTCAAGGATACTACAAAATACCTTGCCCTGTACTCTCTGATATATATGGCACAGTGGTGGAATCCTTGTCTTTGAACTAGAAGGCCTGGGTTCAAGTCTCTCCTACTGTGGAGATGTCATAACATGATAAATTAAAAATTACTGTCTCTCATCTTAAAACTCATTGTTTTATGGCTCTTGAGCTTTGAAACATTGGGAAGAGCTTGTTATTTTGCTTTGTTTCCAATTGAGCTGAAAGCAAGTATCGGGGGAGGTGAATTCTTTGCATCAAAATACCATGGATTCAAGGATCGTGCTTTTTTTTACGATTTGTGTTGTTGATCTAAGACCTAACCCAAAGATCAGCTGAATGAAAGTATTCTCAGTTGTATGTTCCCTGGTGTGAATTCCTGTTTGAAAAGCTGCCCTCTTCCACTGTATTTGGCAGCTGTCAGTGATGTACACACCTCATTCTTTCACCAGTTGTGTGCACTTTTTATTTTCCTTCTTGCTCTTTGTGGGATATTTTTGTCCATATTTTGTGATTGCAGACTGCTCCCCTGTATTGTGGCTGCTGGGTAGAATTCAAAATGCCCAAGTGTGAGGGTGTCCGGTTTTGAGAATGATTTTAGTACAAAGTTTAGAACAGCAAATGCTAAAAGAGGTTGAGGTCACATAGCTGTTATTAGAGCAAGCTCGAGAGGTTGCCTAAACATGTTTGTGCCATCCTGTTGAAACTAAGGAAATGGAAGAGGGCAGCAGAGTGGTGACGTTGATTGGTTGACATGGGGAAGAT